ATTGCCCAACCTTCCTTCCGAGGAGTGGCTGGTGGGTTTGAACCGCCAGCCTTCTGGTTAGCAGTCAAGTGCCTTAGCCACTATGCTACCAGAATATTTTATCGAGAGTTTACCTTATGCCAAGCACTATTGTAAATACCAATTCATAGTGAACAAGAACCCTGTCAGGCAGACACTTAACTCCCTTTGGATACTTTGTCCAAGGTCACACAATTGATGTTTGTCAGTACCTGGCATTTGAACTCAAGTCTGGCTCTACAGCCCAAATGTTCAACCATGTTCTGTACTGCATCTCAGTGTCCTTAAATCTTTGATGACTGATGATCTTGCCATTCTTTGGTGTTTTGTGATGTAATTCTAGTGAGTCAGTACTCAAAATCACAAGAATGGAAGAAGCTAGATATTGATCCATAGAACTAATTATTTTAGTCCATTCCCACTTCACTCCCAAATATTCTCTATGACAAGTTTTGACTAAGGCTTATTTTCCTCTTTGGGACATTGAGATTGTTTGAAGATTCCTAATAGTTAGGTTCCATTCGGTTATACTTTGGTGACATTGAGCTATAGATTTGGGAGCATATCCATGGCTAGTCCCAGTTGGGGAGCTCTGGTAGCATAGTGGCTAAGGCACTTGACTGCTAACCAGAAGGCTGGTGGTTCAAATCCACCAGCCACTCCTCAGAAGGAAGACGGGGCAATCTACTTCCGTAGTGATACTGCCTCGGAAACCCAAGGAGGGGTCGCTATGAGTCGGGTCTGACTCCATGGCACATAACAACGACAACAACAACAAGTCCCAGTTGAGGCAGCACCACCCTTTGACACACATACTACAGAAAATGTTCCCATTCAGGGAACAGCCTTAAAGATGAGCTGAGTGATCTGGGGAAGCTTGGACATTATCTTCGGATAACACAAAACACCTGAATTGCAGTGTATGAACAAAACAGAGCCATTCTACCTGGACAAGATAGTTTGTGGCTATTTAGTAGAATCTACAGTCGTGCAGGGAGCTCTGGTGGCGTAGTAACTAAGGCATTTGACTGCTAACCAGAAGGCTGGCGGTTCAAACCTACCAGCCACTCCTCGGAAGATTGGGCAATCTACTTCCATAGTGATACTGCCTCAGAAAACCAAGAAGGGGTCACTATGAGTCGGATCTGACTCAACGGCAGTGAGTTTTGGATAGTCATATGATACAGCTAAGATAACTAGTGTGTCAAAGCATCCAGTATTTGTTGACAACTGTGCTGTGGAGGAGGGCTCAGAGGTAGTACAACCCCTGACCTTAAGGAACTTACCATTTAATTGAAGAGAAAATGTGTGCACAGAGAATTAACACCAGCCATGGATTTGCAGGAGCAGAGCAATACTGAAGGAATAAGTAGAGAGTGGCAAAGAATTTGTTCTATGTTCTTATTTAAAACGTTTTCTTGATCAACTATTACGTACCAAGTGCTATATTAGAAGGAGCTCTGGTAGCATAGTGGGTAAAGCAATTGGCTGCTAAGCAGAAGGTTGGTGGTTCAAACCCACCAACTGCTCCATAGGAGGACGATGAAGCAATCTACTTTGTAAAGATTTACAGCCTTGGAAACCCAGTGGAGGTCACTGTGAGTCAGAATCAACTCGATGGCAGTAGGATTTTTGGACTATATTATACACTAAAAAAACCAAATCAAGCCCAGTGCCACTGAGTCAGTTCCAATTCCTAGCGGCTGTATAGGACAGGATAGAACTGCCCCTGGGGTTTCCAAGACTGTAATCTTTAAGTAAGCAGAATGTTGCATCTTTCTCCCACACAGTGGCTGGTAGGTTTGAACCACAGACCTTTCAGTTAGCAGCTGAGCACTTAACCACTCTACCACCAGGGCTCCTTAGTATTAGACACTAGTGAGAATATATAATAACAGTCATTTTTATTGAACATTTCAGTTGCCATGCATTGTGCTAAGTGATTTGTGGACTATATTTATCCTTAAAACAACCCAGTGAGGCAGAGACTATTATGACACTCATTTCACAGATGAGGGCACTGAGGCATAGGAATGTTAAGGAGCTAACCTGAAGTCACACTGCTTAGAACCAGCAGTGTTGAGATATGGACCCAGAAGTCTAACTCCACAGTTCACTGTCAACCACTGTGCTGTATACTACTTCAGAAATGAGTAAAGCCTGGTCCCTGCACTCAGAAAATTCAGTAAGAGACACACCTCACTCCTCACAACACAATCCATGCTTGCAGAGCTACTAGGGTAGCAAAGATGCCAAGCATCTTGAAAATCTAATAGCAATTTTAGGGAAATTCAGTGGGTGACCATGCACCATCCCTTCTTATTTTAAAAGCACAAATTAGTCCTTTCTTTGAAAGAATTGCTAAGTATGTAACAGTTCCATACTATTTAGGAAACAGGTCTGCATAGATATTAATGAAAAGGTGTATTTTTTCTGCTTGAGCTGTGTCCTTGATTTTGTTTTGCTTCCTGTGGTTTTGCATCTTTGTAGTTTTTTAAGTTTGTGTTTAGCCAGATTTGACAGTGGTATGTTCTTCCAGTTTGCTCTGTGTCATCACTTAAGGCATATTCAAAGGTTGCAAGAAAATGAATATGTATATGCCACAAAGGGAAAAAGGAAAGATTCTCCTAAAAGTTGAGATGCACGTTTACAATTGCATCATGAAAGCAAATATAATTTGAAACCTCAAAATAGAGACATCACACATAGATGTTTAGTACTATACAGAACGGAGACCCTCTTACAACCTCAAAAAGAGGAGAAAATACATTATTTTTAATCCCAGGATATGCCAATTTGCCCAAAACATTGACCCATAAATACTCAGTAATGTTTCTCAAAGACAACGCATGATACTTTACCTTTCTTCTAAATTTGCTACTCAGTTTCATTTGGGTTCTGGGCATGTCTGTCTGTCATCCAGCCAGTTTATGCTGCCGCGGGATAAGGCTGTATGAATAATTGTGCTTGCTGCTGGCCTAGCTGAGCTTGCTTTACAGATCCTGAACTTTGATATGTAGAGAATCGGAGGGTAAAGGTGGAGACAGTGGAAACACTGTGACTCAGAGACCCCCAAAGTCATTGCCAGTTGTCATGGTCATTCTGCCAGCCTGAGTCTTAAGGAGAAAACAGTGTTGCCAACTGTTCTTGCTCTTCCTTCCCAGCTTGGGGTGGGGGGGAGGAGGGGCTTCTTGTTATGCTCTTAAACATTTAGAAGGAAAAAAATAGCACAAATATAAAACACCAAATATTTCATCAATTCTTGTATGTGTGTGGTAAATATACACTCAGGAAAACATTTGCCATTTCAACATTCCTCACACACATGATTCAGGAACATTAATGATGTTCATCATACTGTTCAACCATCACCATTAGCTGTTTCCCAGTTTCCCCTTCACCCTTAATAGAAACCTGTGTTTCCTAAGCAGTGATTATCCTTCTTTATTCTAGTCCTTATGATAGTCAGTATCTAGGGAGAAGTAAAATGGCTCCAGAATTTGGAAATGGGATTATAATAGTAACATTCAAAGTCCTTCATAGAAATAACTGAAGAAAATAGCCTGAATAGATTTGCAAATACCAATGTTTAGTGAAGATGATGTATGTATGTTTCTCAAGAACTCTAAGGTAATTTTAATTAAAAGAGAAGAAACCTGGTCACTTGTATTCTTTTGTCACTGGGGAAAAAAGCTATGTACATGGAAGTTGAGGGTAAGGTAGAGAAAAAAGTGAGAGTTTGACCTTTTTTATCCCAGCCTGCACAAGGAAGAGGCACTGAGCCAATCAGATAATAAAATTCTACTCACATAAGAGACAATTTCTGTATCTGACTTCACCATGGTCTGGATGAAGTAATACTTAATAATAATAGCTTTAGCTAGTGAGGTACCTACCATATTCCAGGCACTGGACTAAGTTTGGAACCCCTACATTTATTCAGCAATTCCAGTTTAGGAGTTTATCAGTTGGGAAGTAATCGTACAAGTCCCAAAGATGTGTATACAAAGATGTTCAAGGATGCCTTTCAGAACATGCCTTATTTAGTGAAAGCCCAAAACGACTTCAACGCGCAACAGTAAAGAATTAGCTAATAGATTGATGGCCCAGTTTCAGTGAGCTCCTACCGTGAGCCAGGCTCTATTCTGGGTGTTTGAAATACATCAGCAAACTAAACAGATGCCTGCCGTCATGAAGTTCACATTCTAGCAAGAGAACACAGACAATACACAATTGATAGGGTAAGTAAGGCTGGCACCAGATCAGGCAGTGTTTCGTTCTGTTGTACATAAGGTCACTATGAGTTGGAGATGACTCGCGAGCACATAACAACAACAAATTATAAGAGTAAGTAAGGTGGTGGTATGTCAGAAGATGGCAAGTTCTTTGGAAAAGACAAAGGGAGCAGATCAAGAAACCTGAGTGTGGAGAGGGCACTCTTAAATATAGGAGCCAAGGTGGGCTTCATTGTGAAGAACTCGAAGGAGGTGAGGGAGTCAGCTATGCAGCAGTCAGGGAAGTACGCTGCTGACAGAAGGAACAGCCACTGCAAAGGCCCTAAGGCAGGAAGCGTGCCAGTGTGTTTGAAGAAGAGCAAGGATGCTGGGGGTTGGAGTAAGGTGAGTGGAAGGAGTAGGAGAGGAGGGAGGTCAGAGGGGAACTAGGAACTGAGTCAGAGAGTCTTGTTGGCCCTGATAATGAATGTGGATTTTATTCTAAGTGAAGTGGGGTGCCTTTGCAGGATTTGGACAGAGGAGTAGTGAGGTCTCTTTTTATATTTTAGAAGAAACAGTCTGGCTACTGTGTGAATAATAGATTGTAGGGGTACAAGGAGAAGCAGGGAGACCATTTAGGAGGCTATTGCAGCTACTCAGGCAAGAGAGATGATGATGACTCAGGGAAGTATAATGAAAATGGCAGAGAATGGTCCAATATTTTGAAGGCAGAACCGATAAGACTTGTTGATAGATGGGATATAGAATGTGAGAAATGAGAGAAGTTGAAGATGACTTAATATTTTGGCCTGAGTAGTTGGAAGGGTGGGCCTGCCATCAACTGAAATGATAAAGGCACGGGTGGAACAGGTTTGTGGGAGGAAATCAGGAGTTAAGTTTGAGAAGTCTTAGACATGCAGAAAAAGATGTATATTTACTGGCTATTAGTATTTAATGCACTAAATATACTAGGGGAAAAAATAAGAAAATTTTAAGTATTAAGTGAAAATAGCTAAAAACAATATCAGATGATTTCATTTTGTTTTACATATACACATACTTCTATAAGAAAAGGTACAAACAGATAAATAGCAAAATAATAACAGGTTATTTTGGATATAGGTTTTTGAGTAATTTTAACTTAATTTCTTTCTCTTTTTGCTATAATTTATATAAAAGGAAGATATGTTCAGAAGAGTAAGAAGACTATGGCTTTCTTCTATCCTATTGCTAAATTGTGGTTTTTTCCAACCATTGCCCAGTTGATGGACCCTTGGGTTATTTATAGGTTTTTCCTTTTTCTTCTTTATGAATGGCAACACTATATACAAGTTGCTCCATTTTCTTTTGAAGAATTTTCATATGAT